AGAGTCCAAACAGATGAAAAAACATCACATTATTCCACATGACTCCAGTCCATTGATTAATGTCTCAAGCAAAAAGCTGTTTGTAAGAAACAAATCCGCCACTAAAGTAACTTTAAACTGCCATAATAACACTTCCTCCAGTGAAAAGGTCCAACCCCGTTTTCCTCTCACATCAAAATCCACCCACATATTTGTCTAGAACTGCTTTCACTTGTAAATATGCTTGATCTGTGCATAATTCGGTCCTGATTCAGATGAGACGACTTACTGGAGAAAGCAATATTCTGGCACAAGGCAACCCCATCTCGGCATCGAAAATTGCTGGTTGAGGAGGTGCACCAGCAAGAGCAAGCAACGAGATGTGCAAAAGCGATCTCCCAGTTAAAGAATGGGATGGAGTTGAGAGGCAAAAACTCTCTTGGAAGGAGCTGTGGGGCATGGAAGCATTCCAAATCCGCTTCCTTCTACGAGCCACTTATGATGTCCTGCCTTCACCAGTGAACCTTAACCAATGGTTCAGAGAAGATCCTACCAGCTCCCTTTGTCCATCCTCCGCGAACCTGAAACGCATCTTGGTTGGCTGTAAGGTAAGCCTGATGCAAGGCTGGTATGCCTGGGGGCACAACTAGGTGCTGAAGTGTTTTGAGGCATCACTGGAGAACAGGCAGATATCCATCATCAACTCCCTACCTCCTCCTGTATGCCATCGTGCACAGATAAAGGAGTTTGTAGGAGAAGGGGGAAGTGGGATCAAACTGAAGCTTTCTGTCTATCTAAATCATAGGCTCTGCTTCCTGGCTGAAATCGCAGCTACCAACCTCAGACCAGATCTTGTGTTTTGGTCCTCTTTACTATGTACTGTGGACATCATCAAGCTTACTGTGCCCTGGGAGGATGCGGTGAGGAGGCCAATGAACTTAAAAGCCTTAAGTATTCTGATCTGGCAGTTGACGCGAAGCAACGTGGCTGGAAAACAAAGGTTTGTTTAGTCTAAGTTGGCTGCAGGGGCTTCGTAGGGAGATCTGCCATCAAACTGTTTGAAGAACTATGAATCCGAGGCCAATCCCAACGGTAAACTGTCAAGGCCCTTTCCAGTGTAGCTGAACAAGTGAGTCGATGGCTCTGGATTAAGAGGCAGGAAACCGTCTGGGCACCATAACAACAGAGGTGAAAGCAGAGGGGGGCACACCTGGGGTGCCAGTTGTTGCCGATGAGCCCTCTGGAGGTGTTGTGGGCTGATATCATCGAAACACCAAGGATGGGGGTGCCCACCTGATGACCCCAATGAAGCTGAGACCTCTTTCCCTCTATAACTTCTCCACTCCACCCCTGGTACCACCACTCACTTATCTCAGGCATGTGCAATAGTAATACGGGATACCACCTAGTCCTAAAATGTAAGTGTATAGAGGACTCGAATTTTAGCCGGAAACAATGGTTTTAAGTTAGAAACAACTTAATGATGGATTTGTTTCTTACAAACAGCTTTTCACTTCACAAGACGTTAATTGATGGACTGGAGTCATGTGGTTTACTTGTGGATTATTGTTATGTTTTTATCAGCTGTTTGAACTCTCATTCTGACGGCACCCATTCACTCCATTGGTGAGCAAGTGACAAGAGATGTAGTACTACATTTCTCCAAATCTGTTCTGATGAAAAACAAACTCATTTTGAATGGCCTGAGGGTGAGTGCATTTTTAGCCAATTTTCATTTTTGGTTGAATGATTCTTTAAAGGGGTCATATGATGCGATTTCAATTTTTCCTTTCTCTTTGGAGTGCTACAAGCTCTTGGTGCATAAAGAATACATCAGCTGCGTGCTGTGTATCGCCGGATCGGCTTTCACCGTGGACAAAGCGGAGTACAGCCCGGGGTCGTCACATGTGGTTGCTGCAAGCCCGCCGGACGCTCCTTCGTCGAATACGCCGGCCGCACCGTTCTCAAGCCCGCCACCCGCCGCTCACTCTAGGCCTCCGGTCTCCGCTCACTCTAGCCCGCTGTGTGTTTCCGATGAGCTTTGTAAAAATCGACGCGTTTCAGAAAGGCGGGGCATAGAGGAGAAACAATAATGTACAGTATGTGGAAAATAATGTGTTTTTTGAACCTTAAACCGCATAAACACATTTCATTACACCAAATACTCAAAATAATGTTATTTTTAGTAACATCATATGACCCCTTTAAGCTTGTTCACAGAGAAGAAGACAGAGAGGAACAGCTCAAGCATTTAAAGAGGCAGACGACAAAACTGCAGTGTGCACTTATAATAAGCAGCACAATATCATCTGTTGGTGTGGACATTAATATTCATTATAGTTCTTGATGTGAAGGGGCCTTTCAGTACTTTAGAGCACAGTAGAAACAGTAAAAACAGAAAACTTTTCTAATACTTAAAAAAAAATACTCTTCTAGCGCTAGCAATCACAATACTTTTCCATGATCAAGGAGCATATACATTCCTGTATACAAATACAGTAACAGACTTACAAGACCGCATTTGTAAAGCCTTTAATTGCAAGAAATAAAAACAATTACGCATATGAGATAAAGGGTTGTAAAGCATTTCACTAAAAAAAGCCAATATCTTTTTACAGAAATGCATATTCCATAACTTTGTGAATTTCAAATAGCATGCTGATGATGCAGCAATAATGTGTGAGGTACTTTAAACTGTGTGCATGTGTGCCATCTCAATCTGTATACATTTGGCACAAATACTGTCATTCCTTATAAAATTTCTTCTGGTAATTCAGTTCTAAGATGCAAAATCCAATAAAGTCTATAAAATCACCATCATCTCATCATTGTACATCATCTCAATATGTGCATTACAAGAACAGCATAAATATATGACTCTAAAATAACAGTGTGTTTCCAGGGCCATGAAAGAATATTATTAATTATTTTCAAGCTACATTTATTGCAAGCAAAAGAAGGTTTCAGTTGTGTTGAATGTTTCATAGTGTAAATTCCCACAAATGCTGGTTAGGAAATTAGAAGTCTTGAAAGCTGAAGTGTGTAATTTTGCACCACTAGCAACAATTACACACTATTTATGCTTTCCAAAATATCACCCATTAATAGTTCATTAAAGCTACATTTAGGCATTTTTATACCTGAAATGTACTCGGCCACAACAAATAACTAGAGGAGGGATGGTTTGAATGGAGCAGTTATGTGCTCAAAGACAGTGGTGACATGGTGATCACAGTAACCCTTCATGGATCACTCCTAGCAGGAGAAAGCGAGTGGTGTATGCAGTGTAAATGTGCGGTCACATTTACCATTGTTCAGCGAATTTTCAGTCGAAATCCAACAGGAATCTATGCGTTTGGGAATTCCGCGTGAGCGCAAAGAATTTCCTCACACAGATTCTGCGATGGGTTCAAGGTCGGTGTTGCCAGGGTTCCCGCACAATTAGGCGGTTTTGAATTCGATTGTGCGGGTAAAAATTGGTTTGGGCGGGTGGAAAAAATTTGGGATGGTTTGGGGTCAGTTTGGCGGTTTTCAAACATCTAAATAGTATAGGCTAATTGGTTAACAAACAAAACCCAAGTGTGCATGTACTGCATCCTATCAGTCATCATGACTATACTAAGCTCACAAGCCCACTGCAGATTCGGCTGATGTTGCCTGCCTCATTTTTGGCCAATCACTAGGGATCAGCAGTCAGATGTGATGATTCATGAGTTATTGGGGTTTAACACGATAAGGGATCAGATTTTGAATGTATAGCTGTATATTCAAGTGATCACACAATGCCAGAGTGGCCTAAATATAAGTTACATGATAAAGAGTGGGAGAGTGACTCAACTCTTAAGTGTGAATTACACCTGTGGAGGAAGATGACATGAAGGTATTAATATCATTGTAACTCTGAAATCAGAGCACAGTTGAATAATTTAATCAAAATCAAAACTGGATAAGGGACTGTGCCAAGTCTGCATTATGTTCTACAATATGTACTTAATGAAAGACTTCCTCTAGTTCTGTTTGAAGGTAAAGTGTGACACGAAGGTAGGCGCATTACTGTTGTTGTTCATTTGTTATGGTCGGATTATCGTACGTACAGTATGTATCGATGATTGACATTGCTCATTGATTGATTTGCTCATTCCGATCACTTATATTGGCTTAATCTGACTGTTGACTTTGAGGTTATCGGTTAATTTCTTGATTGCTGTTTCGACATAGTGTCTGCCTGCATATTTTAGTCATAGGGACAGTCGTGGCCTAATGGTTAGAAATCGGACTTGTAACCCAAAGGTTGTGGGTTTGAGTCTCTGTACTGGCAGGGATGCTCTCCTCCACCCTCAATACCACGACTGAGATGAGACCCTGGAGCAAGGCACCGAACCCCCAACTGCTCCCCGGGCGCCGCAGCAATATGGCTACCCACTGCTCCGGGTGTGTGTTCACGGTGTGTGTGCACTAAGATGGGTTAAATGCAGAGCACAAATTCTGAGTATGGGACACCATACTTGGCTACACTTCACTTCATATTTGGTAATTCTCTTGAATGTATTTGCCCTGATTTTATAAATTTTTTACTGAGCTGTATCTATTTTTATATTATTTTGTTTTAAGGAGTTGGACCTTATCAACGCCTTGATTGACATGGCAATGACATTCTTTCACATTATTTTGACAGTTAACATTTTGGATGGTTTTTCTGTGAGAGTGGGCGGGTTTTGGTGAGCTTTTGGGCTGGAAATCGTCCATCCAATCTGGCAACACTGTTGGTGGTCACGGAAATTCACCGCGTTGAGCACAAGAAAGATGCTTTGTTTGATCATCTGCGTGGGGAATATTCACCCACACTAAACTTCCGATCAACGTACGAGCTGACGCAGCCATTTGTAACTTGAATGTGCGAGGCTTCCGGTGTCATTCACTTCCAGTCATTTTTAGCAACAAAACTGCTTGTTATTGCAAACAGGTATTTTTTATATTATTTTAATGTACTGTCATGATAATAAAAAAAAAAAACACTGGTTTGACAAAATTCTAAAGATGGCTGCACACTTGTTTCTCTGACACATAACATCCCGATCAGACAAAACACGTTTTTCAGGTTTTAAAACGCAAGGCACACTGCACTGCCTTTTTTTTTGGTTTACTTTTTTTAATTCTGAAAAGAGCAGTGCGCTGTGGGTTTATGTTGCTAGGCAACCACCGAATCAGCTGTCCTGTCAGTCTAATCAAGGATTATAGCGTGAACGCTCTAATATCTTTGGTTTGCTGTTAAGTAAACGGTCATATTAGCGGAAACGTATTAAAAAAAACAACAACTTCGGGTAACCTGCGACAGCCACCACAAGTTTCTCCTCCATCTTTGCAGTCTCCGGACGTTCCAAGCAACTGTAAACTACCATCGCCACAATGCAAGGCCCGCCTCTCCATTCATTCGATTGGACTATCAAAAAAAAAAAAAAAAAACTTTTTTCAACTTCAGGTGCTCGGAGCACTCCTACAAAAACACGAGGTGCCTGGGGCGCCTAAACAGTGAGCAAAACACTCACAGTCAATAGAAAACGATTAAAAAAGGCGCCTCACACTGCAAATAAACGCATTCTGTCTGATTGGGGCCTAAGGCAGTTATTTACCTATAGCAGCTAATGAATCAGAAATCTTGCACATTCACAGAAAATAGCTTACTTAACCATTGGAAAATAAGGTAGATTGGAAAGACCACATTTCCCCAGTGAAATATTATCAAGCAATGGTAAATGTGACCACACTTTAACATGCTCTGGAAACGCTGTGATAATGCTCATGAGCCCTTGTGAATTTCCTGGGCTCACTCTATGCAAAGCAGGCCTTTCATTGGGATTTCACACACTTCTACAATTACTATTTGAGATCTTCAGAAACATATAAAACCCTAAAGTTCAGAAGTGATGGTTTCTGTTAAGTAAAATTTTGACTGCTCAGCGACTAAAATTGGAATAAAAGAAAATAACAGATTCAAGGGGAAAGAAACCTGAAGAAGTAAAGAGGAGGATGACGGAGTGTTTACTCTGAGGTACTGTAAAACTATGTGTGAAAGTCAATATATTACTTCTGAAATGTTTCACAGTGTTTTGTAAAAGTGCATTGCAATACAAGTAAGGGGATATAAATAATGTATTGGAGCTCTATTGTGTTTCTCTGAGCTTGACTTGTTTGTACATTTACCACTGATACTTTCAGGTGCAATAATATCTAGGAAATCAGAAGGGCCCAATCATAGGATCTGTGTGTTGAGAGTCTGTCCTCGAGTGGCTGCAAAGATCAAGGTGGTAGGATCTGAACCAGAGCTTCACGAGTACTCGGTCCCAACTTGTCCGGAAATTTGACTGAGAACTCCAACACCATGTCTCCTCTCTTTTCAGGATATTTGGACAGTGGCAGTCCTTCTCCCACTATCCTCTTCTTCATACCGGGTTTGATGACATCACGTGACGTCACTGTGACAGTTCTACCGTCCAAGGTGGGAGCGCTGATGGTGCAGCCGCATAGAGCCTGAGTAAATGATGGTTAAGAGAGATTAACATGACTTACTTTTGCCTTCACTCCTCTTATTTTAAATAATCTTTCTCATTTATTTACTGTACAGTAATTTGAAATGTTAAAAAATGTGTATTAGTAAATGTAGAAATAAACATTAACCTTGTTTACCCCAAGGCTACATGAATAACCAAAATTATACCAAAATCACTATACCAGGTTATCTGCAGGATTTTTAAGCTCAAATTTAAGACTTTTTAAGACCTTTTTTAAGACCTGCACAAATAAAATGAATACCATATGAGCGGGATAGGGCAATGTCTATGGTAACATGTTAAACTGTAAAATGACTGTAAAAAACATGATTTACAGTTCAGATTCAGGTTTTCACAAAAACAAAGTTTTATAAAATGATAAAATTCACATTTCAGCCTTTAAACCATTTTTAAGGAAATGGATGAGTCAAAAGTATTGAATATTATATTAATGTAAACAATTATTTTCAATAAATTATTATATTAATTAAATAACATTCATATACATATATAACATATACATTATCTTCTTGTCGATCCACCAGTTCACATTTACAACTCTGCCTGTTTGCAGCATAAATACACAGGTTGATTTTCACATTGGTCTGAATAATTGCAGTTGGATTTGGATTATGTCACAATTTATGCGTCCACATATGGAAAACGCAACTGAAAATACAATTAGCAATTCCTTTTGAAAATAGTCTGGAATATCCTTCCATAAAAAAACAGCATGGCTTATTGAAAATAAACAGAAACACAAACACAGTAAACCTAGAGTTAAAAGAAAAGAAAAAAAGAAAAAAGTTGCGTTTTAAATTTGCAAATATCCATTTTTTTTAAGATATTTTTTTTTTTATTAAATTCAACTTTTTCCCCCCCAAATCATGCAGCCCTAATTTAACCTTTGTATTCTCATGTTACTTCACTTGCATAAAGATGTACTTTTCTAGGAACAAATTTAGCTTTCAAAATTACCCATTGCTGTAGTTGTTGAAAATTTTTTAAAAGCTTAACAAAAGTTCACTGGTGTATATTACTGGACGTTAAGTAACATTATCTCAGCAGCAGACACTAGACACTCACCTCTCTGAGGGATATCCTTGCAGGATAGATGATGTCAGAGCCGTCTCTCTGAAAAACCGAGTGAACCTTGTCCTTAACCACAAACACTATGTCGGCAGGGACGTTGGTTGGCGTCTCATCTCCCTCTTTGGGAAAGGTAATCTTTGTCCCCTCCTTCCAGCCACGTTTGATGTCCACGGTGAGGATCTTGTCTTCGGTGTGCACCGTGCAGCCGTCCGGGTTCAGCCTCTTGCGAGAGATCTTCATCTTTTTTGTGCAACCAGAGAACACATCTTCCAGACTCACCTTGAGCTCGTGCACTACTGGGGGATCTTTCTTCTTTTCTCGGCTCCCGTGTACACCGCCTACCCGAGACTTGAAAGATCTGGGAAATCCGCCCATTCCTCCCATTCCGAAGGCCGCAAAGGGGTCGTCAATGTCCATGTCATTATCAGTGCCCCCAGCAGATGCAAAAAACTGATCGAATGGGCTACGGCCACCAAAGAACTCTGCAAACATGGCGTGAGGATCGCCGTGAAAAGTATAGCTAGGGCCATTGGTGCCTCCTCCAGCGTGTCCCTTAAGCCCTGAGGGAAAAAGAAATTATGTTTACGGAAAAACAGCAAGTCAACATTAGGGAAAATATAAGAAATAGCATATAGAAAGAGCAGAACCAGCTCACAGGAATGACCCAGTCACATGGTACAGTTTGAATTCTTAATCTGGAGTTCAGAGGGGTTTCATAAAGTTCCTCGTCGATTCCACCCTACACACTCCTGTGTTTGCAGCATTCAGAGAAAACGCAAACGGTCACCAAAGGTCATCAGGCTTCACTCAAACTGTGCGTTCACACCGCCGCCGTCGAGAGCGTCAAAAATCGCTCTGGCCGCCCTGCCAACGCTGTAGAAAGTTTCGTGGATGCTCTGACGCAGATCGAATGCTTATCTTGTATTTAAAGGGGTCGCAAAGCAAACACGCTTGTTGATCTTGTGCAGACTGACCACAAGGAGGGTAACGTAAAGTTAACCTCATTAAATATTGTTGTGGACGAAGTATTAAGATCCTTTACCTCAATGTATAAAGCACTAATACCACACTGTAAAAATACTCTGATAAAAGTAAATGTCCTGCATTGAAAATGTTACTTAAGTAAGTATAATAAAGTATAAACATTACTTAATGTAAGTATAATCAGAAAGTTGACCTGATTTCAACTCTCCTTGATGCCCTCAACGTCCAAGTCGCGCCGCGCCGCTGCTCGACGCCGGCTCACATTGAATATGAATGACTTCCGGCCACTCTGACGCTCTCGACGGCGGCGGTGTGAACGCACGGAAACAGAGACGCTAAAGCTTAACTGTATGAGCTACTGTGGGAGCTCACTTAATCAACACATGCCTCACTCAAGACTAGGGTTGCAAAGGGTTGGAAAATTTCCAGAAACTTTCCAAAAATCCCTGGAATATTCCACACACAAAAAAATCCTGGAAAGTTCCCAAAATTTCTGGAATATTTCCGAAATTTACTGGAAATTTTCCACCTTTTTGCAACCCTACTCAAGACCCTGATATACTTCAAGCAAAATCAAAGAGCGAATGGGTGTGATGTTATTTCGAACAAACTGTGGCCAAAACAATGTTTGTTTGGAGTGGTGGTATCCAGCTTGCCAAAGCAAACATTCTGGAAAACTCTGCACTTTCTGGAAAACCCTTTCAGACTGCCATTGGCACATGATGATTACAAAATGAGTGGGTGTTGGAAATCTTTTCAGGCTCATTTCTTAAACAATGTAGCCAGATTTAGACCTCAATATCTCTGGAATTGAACCATATAGGACCTTAAAAATGGAAATAACAAAAGTGAAGAACCAGCATCTAAAATATTTAGATATCTTTAATAATTCTTGAGTTACAGCAAACTTTGGGGAAAAAATGTGAAAAGTGCATTTGCCATTTTTTTACTGTGACAATTGGCATATAATGCAACAAAGATAGTCATCAGATTTTACTAATAAAGTCCATCTTTCTAAAGCAATTTTTCCCCTCCTCTGTAACTCCTCTGTAATTTGGCTCCAAATCTCAGGTGAAAGTAGTCATTTTGATTCCCCTCTACAAAATAGTGTAGCTATTACTCAGTAAATATTCATCCATGGTATTTAATATTTTTTTGAATATTTTTTATGCATTCCTTTCACCACAAATAAATCAATAAAAACGTTTTTTTGTCAGGGACCTCTGGTTGAGTTAACACTGAATGACCCAGCAGCTCTTTTCTGTTGTCTTTATGTATCTGTACAGTGTGCATAATGTAAATAACATCAGCAGCATATAGTACACACATACTGTATGCACATAACTTCAGTGCGAGTTATTATTTATTTATTTATGGATTACACTTTTTCAAACTTCTTTTTACCCCTGGGTGAAGAACAATAAAGAATTTAGCAGTGACTATATTGGGGCCTCTTTAGAGTATACCACCGAAAAGCAGAAACATGTCAGGGCACATGCCACCTCTTTTTTAAATAATAATAATAAAGCAATATCTACAATATACACCTTTAATAAGCAATACAATGTGACTTGTTTCCTTTTTTTATTTTGTATTTTATTAATTTCCAATTGTTGTAGCTGCTGCTGTACTGCAATTTCCCTCATGGCTTAATTAATAGCATATCAGTGCGTGTGCATCTATCTGTCAATCAAACTTAATAAAAAAGTACTAAAAGGTGTAACATGGTACCACCACAGCACATTTTAAGGGCGGGCTATCTATCTGCCGTGGGACAGTGACAGCTCTTACCGTCCTCTCCATATCTGTCATAGATGTCTTTCTTCTTGGCATCGCTCAGGACATCATACGCTTCGGCGATCTCTTTGAATTTATCTTCTGCTCCGGCTGATTTGTTTTTGTCGGGATGAAATCTTAAAGCTTGTTTTCTGTAGGCTTTCTTGAGCTCCTCATCAGAGGCGCCCTTCTCTATCCCCAGGACCCTGTAATAATCTTTACCCATCACAACACTCGACTAAAACCCCACTGTTGTTCAACTTCCTGTTTCCATATGTCGATATCCTCCAAATATTGAATGATTTGACTAATTTTAAACGGTCCTCCTCCTGTCCTGTCGAACATGAAGCGCGCGGATGGAGTTTATCAAACTGTTTTTAAGTTATTTATCCAAATCCTCACTTATCGCACACAGCTACTGTCGCATCCCCGCAATATGCGATCATTTTCCCGAGACTGCTCTAACTTTAATCAATGAACAACTTTAATATCACACAGCGTTCCCGGCAAAACACACTGTAGATGTAGTTGTTAACGTCGCCGAGGCGAGCGTCCGCAGAAAGTCCGAGAAAAATGACTTGCTCGGCGGCGCTCGGGACAGATGCTGCAGCTGTGACTGAACGAGCGCCTCCTGCGGCGAGGAGCGTGCACTGCATGCAGACTATGAGAGCCTAGAAATTGAACTGACGAACTGCTGGACTAGCAGTAGTTTTCTTATGAACACTACCTTACTACCAGTGTTGAGCAGTAACTAGTAACTTAGTTACTGTAATAATATTACTTTTTGCAGTAACTAGTAGTATAACTAATTACTAATAAGATTTCAATATTAATATTAGTTACCATCCATAAAACAGCTTAGTTTCTTAGTTACTTTTGATGCCTCAACCCCGCTGATTTAAAATCCAACAATCAAATAATTCCTAGATTTATTTTCATACTTTTCACGACTCGCACATGCATGTGATGTCCCCAGTGCAGCGGGCAAGCTTGTAATATGGAAAAGCTTACATTCAGCAGATAGAAATATTGCATTATATTGATTTTGTCAGGAAAAAAGATGATCTGAGCACTGTTGTGTAAGTTGTGGCTTTACTTTACTCTGACATTACATCCCACCCACATCCCTCTGATCAGCATGTGGTACATTATATTACTATAATTAAAAATATTTTTGGAAAAATAAAGTTTCTTACAAACTTAATGAAATATAAATATAATCGTATATGGGTAACAGAGAAATGACAATTAGCTTCAAGCTACACATAACAATTAATGAGCTGCGAGCGGAGGGGGTTAAGACAGACAGCACACACAGCTTCGGGTTCAGGCAGTTTCATTTCGCTCCCATCGAGTTAAAAAAACAAATAAATGCACAGCCATTTGCACTCTGTGTCGAAAACATACATGAACGTACTGTTGCACCTCTGATAACTTTTTAAGGCTTATTCTGCAGTGATTATTTAAGCCTTTTGACGGGTTGTGTGTCATCATAGAGCTGTAAAAACGGTTATACCCACTAAGTGAATGAATCGTGTTTGTGCCGAACTCTTATTACAAAGCAAAACAAACACTCACCTTCATGAACGTTTCTCTCAGATAATGTACACGATATCACAGTCTGAAGCGTCTGTCATAGCAAATCAACACATGCTGTTGTGAATAATTAAGTGAAGCCTCTTCTCATAGGATAAGAACATGCAGTCTCATGAATAATTTAATAGACACCAATGCGTCATCGATGTACTATAGTCCATTGCCACGTCACGTCAACACGATGTAGATTTTAAACCCGGAAGATGAAAATAGCGCAAAAAAGCTTAAAATTAACCCGTTTTCTCCAATAGTTAAAATTATTGGATGCTAACATTGTCTTATGATGTGCAACACAAACACCTCCGCTAAAATCTCAGAAAAAGTAGTCTGGGGTTTCATGACCCTTTAAAAACAGCAAGTAAAACAGTAGGTTCATGCTAATGGTATCTCCTGCTAACAACATGACCTTATCATGTTATAGCATATGAGTGGGCCCAGTTATTATTTTTACATTGTATTTTCGAATTTTGGCAGTCAAGTCAAATAATAACTCAAAAAAATGTTTTTCTTTCTCACACAGAAAATGGAAAGTTAATCACATTTCAGTATTTGTCCTATCACCTCATTATAGCATCCAGTTGTATTCTTGTAGGTAAAAATGGTTACTATGCATTTTTGATTTTGTTCAGCGCACATTTCATTGTGTGTTAGGATGCAATATCATGTGTTGTACGTATGCAGTTTTGTACGCTTATTTTGGCAAATATAAGATCATCTGGGAATGTAGCTACACAAAATCACATACTGTGCACAGTATCACATACAGTACTATATACTACAGAAATAGTAAGAGTGCTATGCTAGTATGCTATACTAAACATACTAAACATGGAGCTGAGCAGTTGTTTACAGTAGTCTCGCAGTACAAAAAAGTGCAGTATACTGAATAGTAATACACCGACAGCCTACTTATGAGAACAGCACTCCAAGGTATTTAGAAAAAAATACTAGGTTACTACCATGATTATATTTATATATTATATTTATATATAACATGATATGATCTACCATTGAAGAGCTCACATGACAGATATACTTAGACCAGTGGTTCTCAATTCCAGGCCCCCCCAGTTCTGCACATTTTGTATGTTTCTCTTATCACTTCAGACGTTTGTTCTATTAGACCATATTCTGCCATGATTCCAGTTTGGAAAGAGCGTATTTGTTCCATTCAAGGGCATTAAAGTGAGCAAGATGTGAATTTATATGTTATTTATTTACAGAGGTATATTATGTGTGTGAACACTCTGCAGGCCGTGGCATAGCGCAAATCCGTGAATGAAAGTTCCGAAGTGAAGTCAACTTCAATGGATTTCCCGTGCTCAGAGAGTAGGGAGCGATGAAACTGTGTAGGGACCCTGTCAATTGGAACACAGTTCATGCATGGAGCTGTCTTCTAACGAGCTGGTTATCTGAATCAGATGTGTTAAAGGGGTCATATGATGCTTTTTTAAAGATCATTATTTTGTGTATTTGGTGTAACAGAATATGTTGACATGCTTTAATGTTCAAAAAACACATTATTTTTCAAATACTGTACATTATTGTAGGTCATCTATGCCCCGCCTCTCTCAAACGCTTCGTTAGTTTCAACAAAGCCCCCTCCTTTGACAAGCGCAGTCTGCTCTGATTGGCCAACTGACCCAGTGCATTGTGATTGGCCAAACACCACAAGCACGTCTGATTGGCCAGCTGACCCAATGCATTGTGATTGGCCGAACACCGCAAGCACTCGTCGGAAATTCAATATTTAGATTTTTTTGCACCCTCAGATTCCAGATTTTCAAATAGTTGCATCTCGGACAAATCTTGTCCTATCCTAACAAACCATACATCAATATAGAGCTTATTTGTTCAGCTTTCAGATGATGTATAAATCTCAATTTCGAAAAAATT